GCCAGATCTTTCAATCTCTTAAGTCTTTTTTAAAGTAGAGTGGAAATGGACAAGGATGTAGTTATGATACAGCATTTAAATTTTTAAATCAAAGTTTTCTTGGGAGCGTTGTAAAATCTCATAAACATTGTCAAAACCCTTAAGTGTGTAGCAACTGTGAACACCTTGATTTGATTTCACTGGAGCCCAGTTCTCTTTAAGAACTTTTAGACACCCTTTTTCCCCCAGACTAGAAGTTATCCTATAGTGCTTTTGTCCTCCTATAAGGGCCTGGGAATGCAATCCTCTTCACTCTCCATTCAGAAATTGTCCTTACAGTGGTTGCTTTGGCAGTGCGGAATTTTTGCTCTCCTATTGCTATGATTCTAGCTGACAGTTGAATTAAAATCCAGGGTTTGACTACTCTGCAAGTAAATGACTCAGGGACAGCTATTTCTGAACTTACAAGTGCCACGGTAATGTACTTATTTTAGGATAACCGTGTGGTTCTTTGTGCTAGATCAAGGACTGCTGGAGAGCCAAGAGTGACTGCCTTTATCCTGAAACTCTTTCCCCTCCTGGTGCCCTGACCATCTCTACATATGAAACAGAAGCCTAAATGTTAGGGCTTACTTTCCTATCAGAGATGTCATCTGTGCCTTTTCTAGTGTTCATCTGACAATGTGGATTTAAATGCCTCTACATTTGATTTAAAACTCACACTCAGGTGGCTTTTGTCCCACTAATGCATCATTAGTGTGAGGCAATTCTGTTTTAGAAAAAATTCCATTCCCTACCCCAAACCTTTGCCATCTGTGTCAGCCATCAGCTACATCTACAGAGTTTTTTAGATTATAGAACTGTTACTTAGTTTATTCCAAGTTCTTGTAGAGGCTTACAAATTTCAGTCTATGTTTGTAATGAGATGATATTGGTGGCTTTATAGCGTTATGAGTTTAAAATCCACACAGTGATTTCTTTGTCATTAGAAGGTAACGCTTGAACGTTTTAGTTCTCTGATCACCTGGGTGTCATAGTATCATTTAATGGCCTTTGTTCCCAGTTGTGAAGTTTTATTTATATGCAAGCCTGCCCACTTTGGGTCTTGGTGCCTGTGTATCTTTGTCTGGTCTCTAGTTGGTGGAATTACCTTCTTTTTGTACTGCCACTTCCCAACATTTTTGAAGTTTGACATAATGTTGCTTCATTCCAGTTTTTTTTTTTTAGTTCTGTAATTTGTTGACTGTATTTAACTATGTGAGTTTTGTTGTGATGTTTACTGTATTGTAAAGCACCTTAATCATGTAATGGGTGCTCTATAAATCAATAAATGATGACTTAGAGGCTGTATTATGACCTATTTTGGTTTTAGGTGCAGGTCTCAAGGAAGTTGTGCGATGCTTTCTGTATAAACAGCATATGATATCAAATGATACATACAGAAACCTTGATAACTATCACAAGCTTTATTTAAAGATGAAATTTGAAAACAGGAGTTAAAATTTGACTTCCAGTCTGTGGTAAAATACTCTTTATATTTCCAATACATGATCAAACATAATTTCAGTTCATGGTGAGTTAGAAGCTTAAAGTGAACAGTTGGTAGAACATTATTGGGAATCTGTCTTGCTTAAACTAGGCTGGCTCTACATTAGAGATCAGCTAATCTATGAGAAACCTAGACTCAAAAGTGAACTGGCTGAGACCACCTCCCTCCAAGCAGATTGACATTCCTACTGGGTGAGATTTAGTGGCGAAAGAGACAAGAATGAACTCTTCCTTCCTTCCTTCTTTTTTCTTTCTTTCTTTTTTTTTTTTTTTGGTTTTTGAGACTGAGTTTTTTTGTAGCTTTGGAACTAGCTCTTGTAGAACAGACTGGCTTTGAACTCATAAAAATCTGCCTGCTTCTGCCTCCTGAGTGCTGGGAGGCACCACTCCCCGGCTCACTTTCTTTTAAAGATAACAGTATCTAGCTAACTTCTTGTCTTGAGTCCTTAGTTTATGTGCATTTAGTGTTAGAACTGATAACAGACTTGATGTATTGATGATGATGCTCATCTATAAGTTCCTAGTGACTGTTTAGCCTCTTCATTACAAATCGAAAGAATATGGAGCCAGATATCTTAAAGCTGAATTAGAAACATGAAGAAAATTCTAGTCCTGATAAATATTTTTGGAATGAAGTTACTATAGAAGAGTTTGGGTGTTGCCTATGGTTTCAATTTTATACTTAATCACCATTCCTAGGTAAATAGAAAGATCATTTTCATGTTGCTTCAAATGCAGATAAACAGGTTGTTAACTATTATGTTCTGTGTGCTAGGCCCTAGGCTTCCAAGGAATTTTTCCCCCTTGCCCTCAAGAAGATACAGGAGTAACCAATTTAAACTTCATTTTCTGGAAGCCTGTAGAACTCAACAGAATTTAGTTTGCAGAGAAAATTACTTTCTGGCTATGGTATTTCCGGGTGTTTGATTTCAGGTGTGCAGTCTGGCTGCCAAGGTAGGATTAGATTTTTTGACTTGCTGAATTGGTACCTATACACTGACCTTTAATGATAGGATCACAGACTTTTGAATCCTATTCACATATGAATTAAAAGAGTTTTGACAGACAGAAGTTGCACAGAAAGTCCTGGCAAGAAAAATGACTCTTCCTGAGCAGTATTCATTAGAAATAATTGTAGTGCTGAGGGTGTTACCCAGTGTCAAAGGACTTGCTTAACATTCAGATCCCTGGACTTAATCCCTAACACCACAAACAGACAAAGGGCTGGAGAGATGGCTCAGTTTGGTAGAGTGTTTACCGTGTAAATATGAGGACCACAGTTCAGACCTCCATCACAGCAGTTCTTGCCTAAAATTCCAGTGCCGGGAAGGTGATTAGGAGGTCTCTGCTTGGCTTGTCAGTCCATCCAAATATGTAAGCTCCTGTTTCTGTGAAAGACTATCAAAACGTGAGCAGGGTGTGTTGGGGTACACCTTTAATCCCAGCATGCTGGAGGCAAAGGCCTCCAGTTTGAGGCTATCCTAGTCTATAGTGAGAGTTCTAAGATAACCAGGGATATATGCATAGACCCTTTCAATAAAATAAGGTGAAGAGCAAATGAGTAAGGTACCTGGAGCTTTGGCCTCTGCAAACATGCAACATGCTACACCTTTACACAAACCCTAGAAAAGAAATCAGCACTTGAATGCTCACACAACCTCGTTCCTAACAACACAAAAAAACTATGTTTATTAATCAAGTACTTCGTGATAGCAGATTTTGTTACATGGTGTATCATAAAGAATCTGGTCAAATTCTTAAAAAGATAATCCAAGGTATCTCAAGAAGAAACTAATTTGAGCCAGATGTGGATACCTCTGATTCTAGCACTTGGGAAGTGAAGGCAGGAGTATCAGGAGCTCTAGGCCAGCCTAGACTACGTGAGCTCTTTTGTCAAAAAAAGTGAAAAGAGAACAGGCTCAAGTTAATTTTCTGAGGTTGCAAAGGAAGACAAAGAGAAAACATGCTGCAGAACAGATACAGCACTTTGCAACCACAAGTCATTTTAGTGTTAGGATCTTGAGATTTTTTTTTTTTTTTAGGGGACTCCATATAGAGGAGTCTGTTTATGCCTGAGGCTGGCTCACCTAGCCATCAGCAGACAGGAGATTTGATCTCTGGCACTTCTATTGAAATTGACTAATACTGTGTTCTTTACCCACGTGCCGCTTACCCAAAGCCATCACTCTAAACATTGCTCTGCCTATGCTTTCTTCACTCTGTAGTCTCCTGCTACGCCTGGAACATGTGTTTTTAGTACAAAATTGTTCTTAATGTATTTTAGTACCCTCCCCTCTTTTTCTAGGTGTTTATCAGCCAGGGGCTCTCCCCTTCTCAGAATTTTAACCCTTGGCCCTACATTTTTATGATTTAAACTCCAAATTCCATTTCATTTCAAATTCCTTTCATTTCACTACCCACCCCACTAATGCTTTAATTGTGGCAGATCTTCCTAAAATTCTTACCGTCCTCTATGGCACCACTTCCTTAACTGTTGCTACATTATTTTTATTCTCCTGAATTAAAGAAGCCTTTTGGTTGAACGTCAGGCCTCACATGTTGTAATTATACAAGCTAGTTAAGCAAACCAAGTAAATCTTTAAACCGGGTGTGGTTGTGCTTGCATTTAATCCCAACTCTGGAGGCGAAGTTCAGCAGTTGTATCAGGCTATCCTGGTCTACTTAGTGAGTTCCAGGACAATCAAGGTTATGTATGTAAAGAGACCCTGTCTTAATTCTCCTCCCCACCCTACCCTAACGAAAACCAAAGAAGTTTTGAATAAGCTAATGTTATCTAGGTATATTACATCTTTATTTTGCTATTATTAAATAATATAATCATTCTCACATTCACCAAAGGTTTTAGCTCCTGGTTTACAGTCTTTTTTTTGTTTGTTTGTTTGTTTAATCTTCCAACATCTAATTACCGTTGTTTTTCATTTCTACACTATGGCCCTGTCCTGGGTGTTTTTAGTTCCTAGTGTTATTTGGCTTTATAACTTTGACCAAAGGGATCTCACAGTTTTGCTTGTATAACATTGATTTTTAATAACTACAGACCCTTGCAGTTTCTGCGACCCCTACTTCAGTAACCAGTGTGCGTGCCATTTTTGACGTGAGTTGTAGTTTGGTTTTAGCCATAAAATTCCCAATGCTCAGAACAAATGCTGTCATTCAAGTTTTCTGACAGTGTCTTACATGGTTGCAAAGTAACTTAAAGATCAGCAGTCTCTGCATCAGAGTAGTCCACGTTCGCTGTGCCCTGACGACCTCCTGAAATATGAGAGAGATCAGTCACAGTGCTTGGCAAATTCCCCAAAATGTCTAGTGAGGGGGTGGCGATAAAATAATAATAATAATAATAATAATAACCCTCGGCTCCTGCGAGGTGAAGCTTCCCTGTCCTCTTTCATTCACCCCTTATCTGCTCAGGCTCCTCCCTTTGCCGCGCCTCCACCCAGATCTCGCGAGACTGGTTGACTCCTTTCCGCAGACACTTCTCGCGAGGCTGCAGGCAGGGCCGGGCCCGACATGGCGGAAGGTAGGATATTTGTGGAGCGGCGCGGGAAGGCACGGAGGTGTGAGGGCATCGTTGGCCAGATACAGAAGCCCCGAGAGGGGTTGATTGGGTGTGATCACACGGGGCACCGGGTGTCTCGCGAGCCTTCCTATCTAGCGTCTCGGGCCTACCCCGGGCCCGGGGGGGGGGGTTCCTCTGCGCCGTTCCTATGGCAACGCCCCTCCCGCGGTATGGCCCCGCGGGACCTGGGTGGACTGAGAATGCTAAGTGGGGGTCTAGGTGTTGGGAGGAAGCGCGGCCGTAAGGCTGGGGAAGGCTGTACAGGGGGCTCCTTGTAGTGCCAGCGATGCTGGAAGACTAGGGAAGTGCACATCTCCTTAGGAAATCGAAACTGCTGTCATGGCAGGTCCTGCATCCGGAAGGGGTGCATCCCTTGCTCGCGGAAGAGCTTGAGACTTTTCCTTGCCGGGGGTCGGGAAGAATCCGGGCTGCAACTGGTCGATGGGCTTCTTGGGCGGACGTTATAGTCTCTGGGCTTTTTTGCAGCACCGGCATGCGGGCGCGCCCAGATTCTCCGAGGTTTGCAATGGGGGCAAGAGAAGGGTTTTGCTTAGTAAGGGAGTTGACCAAGGCCACAGTGCTCCTAAAAGATGCACTAAAGCCAGACCTCTGTTCCTTTACGTTCTGGTTCCTCATCCTCTTTTCTAGTGTACACTTTACTTACTGCAGGTAAAGGCATCTGGTCTTTCACGTTCAGCTTCTCTTGATGTAAGATCTCTGCTTGTCAAAACTTTACTGTACAAGTGGGGAAGAAAACCCAGAGAAAGTGAGTTACCTGCCAGGGATCATACAGTGATATTGGTCCTGGCCTGTGTGCTCCTTGTGTGTACCCCATTGTTGGAGAAAAACACTTCTTGTTGGACTTATTGAGTGACTGACGGGTGCTTGATCGAGACCTGTCCTATTTTGGTTTGTTTGTTTGCTAAGCTTTGACTGAACGTATCGTTTCTTGGTTGGAAATTTGTATAGCATGACAGTTTGTGTAGGCTTCTCTGATTTGGATTAGGCTTACGAAGTTAATGAAGTAACATATGAAGTAGGCCTGCCAGGTATGCTATTTGTTGAGGCCAGAGTTATGACAGGAACTGGGTCCAGTTTTCGTTTTTACTTTTTCTACCATGTTAAAAACCTTGGAGGTGGAACCTCAGGTGAATACTTTCCCAAAGAAGAAGCGGAAGCAAAGGGACTTCTGAAAGACTGGGTGTGTGGTGATGCATGCTTTTAGTTCATTCAGAACTTGGGAGGTTGGAGGCAGAAGGAAGATCAGAAATTTAAGGCCATTCATAACCGACCCGAGGATGCACAAAACCCTGTCCAAAGAAGAAGCTAGATGATCTTCAAACCCCAGAATATTGTACACTGGAGGCAGCCAGTGACTTCTCAGCAGTGAGGTGTGGGAGGAAGTTTCAGGAAGACATTCTGTGAGAATGTGAGTAGTCTAGTACTATGAGGAAGGGAATTTGAGGACTGGGGAAATACGTCACCAAGTTTTAGGTTGTGGAGGGTATAGCTTTTCATTAATTAGTTTTATCAAGCACTTACTGTGTTTGTGCTCGGGTTTCAGTTGTAGGGAGTTCATATAGACTGAGGTCCAGTACAGTGATGGTTTACTTGTGGTTGCCTTGGGGTGATTAGAAACATCTATCTATCCAATGAACCATATACTTAACCACAGACAAAACATCCTTCCAGGATTAAATTGGATGGAGGAATGAAGTGATGGGGAGATAATAGGTGGATAATAGGCTGACTTCACAGTTTACCCTATTAACATTCTGGTTTCCTAAGTTCCAGCTAAGGCTGTTTTTGGAAATGATGTTGCAAAGTTCATCTAGGAGAATTAAAGGAAAGCATTCAGAATTAGTTAGCTCATTAAATGGAAATCATTTCTTAGGCAAAGGCAAACAAAGTCATCTAAAGATATCTTGTGAGATGTTTATTACCTTGCTTGTGTTTTTGTTCTTTTTGTTTTTGCTGCTGCTTGTACTTTAATCAGGATTGTCAGAACTGTCTGCTGTTCTGAGATAGTCATAAACAGCAGATTTTTGTAAGCTGTCACAATTAGATTGTCAGCATACTCTAAGAACTTTCCTAGTAGTTGATCATTTGGTGACGGTTCATTTATGTATGGTTCATTAGTTCCCAGGAGTAGTACAGCCTTGAGAAACCGTGCATACATGCCATACAATGACTTATCTGACTTGTGTAGAAAACTTTCTTTGTTTTTGTGGCTGTTCACTTAACTGAATACAGATACTTGACTCAGGTCCACTCTCAAGGCGATTTTTTTTCTTTATAATTTTTTGAGACTAGGTCTCACTTTTAGCTCTGGTTAGTATAGATCTTGCTAGGTAAATCAAACTGGCTTAGAACTCACAGAGACCTGCCAACCTGTATCTCTTGATTTCTGGGATTAATGAAATGGATGTGCTACCACATCCAGCTTCTAAAAGAGAATTCTGTTACCATTTTGTACACCTTTTGCAGATGTTCTAATCAGTGTTTTCTTCAAACTCAAATGAGCTATTTTAGAGTGCCCATGTGGTCTTCCCGCTTTTACTTTGTTTCTCCTTTAGTTTACTCACCCACAGTCTCTTTTCAGTTTCTTATGTTCTCTTTAAAACAAAACTGAACTGTGCCAGACGTGGTGACTCCACACTTGGGAGGCAGAAGCAGGAGTGTCAACAGTTCGAGGTATATGGCAGGTGTATCCTCAGGCCATCCAGGACTACATGAGACACTGTCTCAAAAAGAATATAAAAGTCAGGGCCAGGGGAATGGCTCAGTGGCTCCAGGCTTGCCACCAAGCCTGGCTACCTGAATTTGTTCCCCGTGACCAATGCAGTGGAAGGTGAGAATTGGCTCCTATTAGTTGTCCCATTAGTCCCATTTCAAATGCTCAACAACCATATGACAGTCCCCCTCCAAATAAACAATTAAACATAATAAAATCTTAAACACAAAAGCAGATCTTACCTCACCTTTCATAAAATTTTATAATTTTATGTGTATGGATGTTTTGCTCGCCTGTGTGTTTTGTGCACCACATGCATGCCTGATGTGGGAGGAGGCCAAAAGAGGAGATCAGATCCTCTGAACTGAACTTAAAATGGTTGTTAATGAAATGAACTTAAAATCCTACAGGGATTGGGAATTGAACCTAGGTCCTCTGTGCTCTTGATCACTGGTACATCTCTCCAGGCCTACCTTTTCTGTTAGCACCCTCCCCTTCCAACTCTTGTGGTATATTCCAAATAACCTTGACATCTGAAAGAGATCTGGTCCTAGTTTACATTGAAACTTGTTTCTTGCCTCTTGTTGATTGTGCCTGACTACTCACTAACTGTTCTTGTATGTTTCCAACATGCTTCGACCTCGACTTTGTCCCTGCAAAGCCATTTCTCAGCATGACTGAGGAGCTTTGCTTCAGATAGCTTGTCATCACAGAGGGTTTTTCTGAATAGAAAGCCTGTGAAACAGGAGCTTTTCTTGTTTTATTCAGTGCTGTCTCTATCCCTAGGCTTAAAGGCCTGGCACTTGTTGATCACCCCTTAAGCTGCTTGGGACCTGAGGGTATAACTCCACGGTTGAACATGTATTGAGTATGCTCTCAGCATAGATGAAATACTTAGCACCCAAACTATTTGTTTGACTATATCTGTAGTCTCTTGTCATATGTGCTGGTTTTGGTTTTGTCAACTTTACACAAATTTACTTTAGACATATCTGGGAAGAGGCAGTTTCACTTGAGTAATCCCCTCCATCATACTAACCTGTAGGCAAGTCTGTTGTGTATTTGTTTTCTTTTTTGATTAATGGTTTATTTGGGAGAGACCAGATCACTGTGGGCAGTGACCATCTCTCAGCAGGTATTCTTGGGTTGTATAAAAAGCAGACTGCGCAATTCATGGGGAACAAGCCAGTAAGTAGCATCCCTGCATAGCTTCTGCTTCAGTTCCTCCCTCCAGGTGTTTGCTTTGGCATCTCTCAACAAACTGTGATTGGGAATATGAAAGCCAAATAAACGTTTTGCTTCCCAAGTTGGTTTTGGTCATGTTGTTTTATCACAGCAATAGAAAGCAAACTAAGGGGTTAGAGAAATGGCTCAACAGTTAAGAGCACTGACTATTCTTCCAGGGGACTTGGATTCAGTTCCCAGCACCCACATGACAGCTTATAACTGTCTGTAACTTTAGTTCCTAGGGATCCAACACCCATGACAAAACACCAATGCATATAAAATAAAATAAAAAAGCAAACTAAGACATTACATAAATTGGTAGGTTCGATTACATAAATTACATAACTCTGAAAAACATCTTTTTTTTTCTTTTTCTTTCTTGCCTTTTTTTTTTTTTTTTTTGGTGTTGGAGGTGGGTTTCGAGACAAGGTTTCATTGTTCATTGTAGCTTTGGAACCTGTCTTGGAACTAGCTCTTGTAGACCAGTTCTTGTAGAACTCACAGAGATCCACCTGCCTCTGCCTTCCAAGTGCTGGGATTAAAAGTGTGCGCCACCATCACCCGACTTGATCAAGGCAATTAGTTGGGGTTTGCTAACAGTTTCAGAATCCATTACCATCATGGCGAGGAGCATAGTGATAGGCAGGCAGGTGCTGGAGCAGTAGCTGAGAACACTATACCGTGATTCACAAACAGTGGGAACCTGTGCCTGGTGTGGGCATACTTCCAACATGGCCATACTTTTTTTTTTTTTTTCCAAGACAGGTTTTCTCAGTAGCTTTGGAGCCTGTCCTGGAACTCGCTCCGGTAGACCATGTTGGCTTGGAACTCACAGAGTTCCTCCTGTCTCTGCCTCCTGAATACTGGGATTAAAGGCTTGCGCCACCACGGCCCAGCAAGGCCATACTTCTTAATCCTTGTAATCCTTTCAAACAGTTCCACTCCCTGGTGACTAAGCATTCAAATATATGATCTTCTGGGGCCATCCTTACTAAATCACTACTACTTTTTTCTAGCTCATTTAAGTTTTAGCAAATAAAGTGTAATTCTTGAGCTGGAGATGTAGAGTGCTTGCCTTGGGTCCATTCCCAGCACAAAATTTTTTTGAGATTATAATATAATTACAACATTTCTCCCTTCCTCCTTCTAGAGCCCCCTACTCTCTCTTCAAATTCATGATCTATTTTTCATTGTTATTGTGTACATGTGCATACATATATACACACACACACACACACATACATACATTCACATATATACTCCTAAATACAACCTGTTCAGTTTGTATAATGTCACTTGTGTGTATGTTTTCTGGACTGACTGTTTGACACTAGATAGTCAGTTGATGTGTTCGTCCCTGGAGAAGACCATCTCTCCCAACTTTCCTCAGTTGCCTATAGTTCTTTGTGTAGGATTGAGACTTGTAGGCTTTTCCCAGTTCACTTGGGTGTATTCATTGATGTTATCCTTGTCCAGCTCACATTTGGGCAATCTGTTCTTGAGGCTTTGTGGGTGGAACTTCTGATAATTACTAGGAGACACAACCTCACAACAAATTTCCTGATCCTCTGGCTCTTACAATTCTCTCTGCTCTCCTCTTCCACAATGTTCCCTGAGCCTTAGATGCCGGAGTATTTTATAAATGTATCTCTCGGGACTGGGCTCCACAACTCTGCAATTTTATTGACTGTGATTTTCTGTAGTGGTCTCTGTTGTAAAGAGAAGTTTCCTTGAAGAGGGGTGAAGACTACACTTATCTATGGGTATAAGGACAAATTCTTAGGAATTAATGCCGTTTTAGTAAATTAGTGGTTGTTGATTCTCCTCTGGTAACCATGCTTTCACTAGAATTGAGTAATTAACTGAGTAGAACAGGCATGGTTTACCTTTTATTAAGTGAGTCTTAAATCCAATTAGAGAACTGTTGGTTAATGCCAACGTATTCATGTCACTATTGCACCTTTAAGATTATCTTGCCATGTTGCTTGACAATGCGATTCATAGATGTCATCATAGTGGGGAGAAATTATTTTTATTCTTATGTTTTGTAGTGTTTTGCCTGCATGTACATATCATGTGCATATCTCTTGCCTGAGGAAGTCGGAAGAGGGCATTGAATGCCCTGGAACTGTAATTAACAGATACTTGTGAGCAAGAATTGAATCTCGGTTCTCTGTAAGACTAGCCAATGCAGGGTTGGAGAGATGGCTCAATGGTTAAGACCACTTTCTGACTGCTCTCCCAGAGGACTGAGGTTCATTTCTCAGCACCCAGGCAGCTCACGATTGTCTATAACTTCAGTTCCAGGGGATCTGATTCCCTCACACCAATGTATGTGAAATAAAATTAAATAAATTATGGACTGTAGAAATGGCTCAGCAGTTAATGGCACTGACTGCTCTTCCAGAGGACCTGAGTTCACTCCCAGCATCCACATCATAGCTAACAACTGTCTCTAACTTCAAGAGCTGAACCCTCACAGAGGTATACATGCAGGCAAAATACCAATGCAAGTAAAATAAAAATAAATAATATTATTTAAAAGAAAAAGACCAACCAGTGCTCTTAATGACTGAGTCATTGCTTCAGACCCCATAAAATGAAATTTAAAAAGTAAATAAGTGATTTGATATATAGTTGGTTATAGACTTTTACTAATTCAGTGAAATTTGGTCAGGAAACTACTTGGGACAATTGAATAACAAGGTGAAGACATTTTACAGTGGCCATTCACTGGCCAGTATAATAACTGCTAGCCAGATACGGCCACTTGAGCTTAAAATTAAACGTCGTTGAACACTTAGTTCCTGGCCACATAAGGCGCATTCGAAGTGCTCAACAGCAGTGTGGCTAGTGACTACCCGAGATAGACAGACAGATCAGTAGAATATTGCACCACACAGAAAGTTCTGTTGGAGAACACAGTTCTAGAAAGTGTTTTGTTAGCATAGACTAGTAAAACTGGGAACAAAGAAACTCCACATTTGAAGTATATCTCTATATTCATTCAACAGAGGTCCCAGGCCATTGATAACTAATTTATCTAGTCCATTGATGTCTGAGGCATCATCCCCTTCTTACCATCTCTCCTTATTTCTACTGTGACCCTATTTTCAATAAAAGAAGGGAGAAAGGAAAGAAAGGGTGGGGCATGGTAGCACACCTTTGGTTCTAGCACCCTGGAGGCAGAGGCCAGCCTGGTCTGCATATAGAATCTCACTCAGACAGGCAGAGTGATATGATAAAAACCTACCTCAAGAAAAATTAAATAAATAAAGATCATATCTCAAGGAAGAATACATGAGCTTATTTACTTATTTATCTTAAAGAATTTCCTTTAGTAAATGAAATTGTAAGGTAGTTTACGAGGTGTATTTTTTCAGTTTAGGGCTAAGCATTCAATAGAGTTAAACCCATGATCACATTGTGGCCCTAAATAAAGAGAATATGATGTTTTTAACATCCTTGTTGAAATATCTTGACAAAAAAAGTATCTCTGTAGGCAAAAAAAAGAAAGAAAGAAAAGAAAAGGAAAAAAGGAAAAAGAAAAGAAAAAAGGTTTTGATTTGTTTATTGAGACAGGGTTTCTCTGTGTAACCCTGGCTGTCCTGGAACTCATTCAACAGGCTGGTTTCAAATTCAGAGATCCACCTGCCTCTGCCTCTGAAGTGCTGGGTGTGCGCCACCACCATCCAGCTTTGAAATTTGCTTTTATTGTTTGTGTGGAGTGTAAACTAGATTCTAGTATGATGGATGGGCCTCTAAATTTTTTCTTTCTATCCTGTCTCAGTACCTATCCATTCTATGACATGGAGTCTGTGTATTTTCTATGCTGATGTCGAGATCTTTGTGCTCAGTATTTTCCCCTTGGAGGAAATTGTACTTTATTGGCTCTTTAGTCTTTAGTCACTAAGAAGAGCTCTTCAGAGCTCTTCAATTCGGCTGTTTTTTTTTTTCTAAACCACGTTCATTGTGAGTTTTTGTTTTGTTTTGTTTTTTGTTTTTGTTTTTGTTTTTTGTCAATAGGTGGTGGTGGCTTACACCTTTAATCTCTGCACTCAACTTGATGTCTGAGTTTGAGGCCAGCCTGATCTACAGAGTGAGATCCAGGACAGCCAGGGCTATATAAGGAAACTCAGTCTCAAAAAACAACAAACAAACAAAATAAAACAAATAGTATTGTTTTCCTTTCGTCAGCACTTTAAAAGAAATATAGTTTGGAGGCCAGAGAGATGGCTCATCAGTCAAGAGCAAAATAAATACATTTTTTCTAAAAAGAGAAATTTTTTTTCATTATTTGTAAGAAAAATGTTACTGTTGTCATCTTGTAAGTGCTTTTCAAGTTTATTTTCCTGGGATTTTGATTTATGCCTAAGTCTGGGTGGGCATCTAGTTCTTTACTCCAGGCATTTATTGAATCTAGAAGAGGTGAAATAACAGCCACATGGGCTGGAGAGATGGCTCAGAGGTTATGGCTGCTCTTCCAGAGGTCCTGAGTTCAATTCCCAGCAACCACATCGTGGCTCACAGCCATCTATAATGAGATCTGGTGCCCTCTTCTGGCATGCAGACACACATGGAAGGAATGTTGTATACATAATAAATAAATAAATCTTTAAAAAAAACAGCCACATATATACATACATGTGTGTATATGTATGTATGAAGATCAAAGTATATTAGCATTTAAACACATATCTTAAAACTTTTTTCTAATTATGAAAGCAGGATATATTTGTTATAAAATAACAATCCAAAAGTGCAAAGAAAAATCCTTCTTAGTAAGATTTGCTATTTGGTAGTATTTAATTTGCCTTTTATTCTCCACATATGTGGCTATTCATTAAATAGGAATTATAAAGCATTTAGTTTTATATTCTGCTTACTTAACTTTTTTTATAGTGTGTGTGTGTGCGCGCGCACATGCTCATGTAAATGTTTAAGACCATGCTGCATGAGAGAGTGGAAGTCAGAGGACATCTCAAGGGAGTTAGTTTTTTCCCTCCACCATGTGGGTCTTGGGGGAATCAAACTCAAGTTGTCAGGCTCAGCAGCAAGCGCTTTTGTCTGTTGAGCCATCTCACTGGGCCTCTTCTTTTCAATTGCATTTTTAATATTTATTTTTTATGTGTAAATGTATGTATGGAGGAACATGCATGTCAAAATGTGTGTGATGGAGGTCAGAGAACAATTTACAGGTGTGGGTTTTCTCCTGTCATGTCGGTTCTAGGAGTTGAGCTCAGGTCCTCAGACTTGACAGTAAGTACCTTTATTTGCTGATCCATCTTGCCAGCACACAAAATCATTTGTTTCTCTCAGATTATATAGAAATAGTAGACCATATGGCTAGATAGTGGTAAGTGAGATTTCCTTGCAACTACCATGTAAACATTCTTTGTTTGCCTTGCAGAGGAGGTGGCCAAGTTGGAGAAGCATTTGATGCTTCTTCGGCAAGAGTATGTCAAACTGCAGAAGAAACTGGCAGAGACGGAGAAAAGATGCACGCTTTTGGCTGCACAGGCAAACAAGGATAGTAGCAGTGAGTCCTTCATCAGCCGCTTGCTGGCAATAGTGGCAGGTCTCTATGAGCAGGAGCAGTACAGGTGAGCTCCCAGAACCAGAACTATACCTTTTGCTTCATCCCTAGCCACTTCACACGTTAGAGTGTCTTCTCGTTCTCTCTTATTTTGCACTCCTCAGAATTGAAACAGGGACTTTGCATATGCTAGACAAGTGCTGTACTGCTGAGCTCTGTCCTCAGCTCTTTTGTCACCTTGTCCTGAAACAAAGTCTCACTAGGTTGGCCAGGCTGCCGTTGCATTTATGATTTTCCTGTTCGAGTCTCTCAGGTAGATGAGATTAGACCTACCTGTGCTACTAGGCCTGGATTCTCATTCATTTTCTTGCCAAACTTATTTCTCTATAATCAGAATTGTCAGCACTGAGTCACATGTGGTAGCTCACTTTTGTAATTTCAGTACTAAGGAGACTGAGAGAAAGATTGTCATGAGTTTGAGGCCAGCCTCAGCTACATAGTGAGGTCCAGTCCAATATGAGTATGTTTGTCTGAGTCCTTATCTCATAAAACAAAAATAAGAACTGGGCTGATGTCAGTAAGGTACATGAGGACCTGAGTTTGATCCAAAGAATCCATGTGAAAAAATTTGGACCTCATGGCAGGCACTTAAAATCCCAGTATGAGGAGAACAGACTTTGGCAGTTCTGGGACTCACTGTCCAGCAAGCCTAACCTAAGTGGTTGTGTTCGAGGCCAGTGAAGACCCAGTAACACGTAGATGGCACCAAAGGTTGTCCTCTGGTTTCTGTATGCACACTATCTGCTCAAATCAACACCAAACCAATGAAAAAGATGAGCAAGATCTCTTTGTTTTTCAAAATGTCAGTCTTTGTTAGAACCACCCTGTATGCTACTTGCTAGCCTTTTGATATCAAACTGCAACATTAGGTTCCTGATCTGTGTAACAAAGGATGATCAGTACTACTCAATTTAGGGTTGGAGTAAAGATTAATCATACATGTAAAAACACTTCGAATAGTGGGCACATATCAAGGATTGATTATTAGCAGTAGTATTTATTTATTTATTTTATTTGTTTGTTTGAGATACACTTTCACTGACTTGGAAGCTGCTGTGTAGACCAGGCTGGCCTTGAACTCAGCAATCTTCCTCCTTCCCGAATATTAGAAATTAAGGCATTTGCTACTATTCCTAGCTATTTATTTATTTTTGCGACAAGGTCTTTGGTAGCCCAGGATGTCTTAGAACTTGGTTGTGGTCATGATAACCTTATATTTTTGATCTTCTTCCCACTGCCTCTCCAATGCTGCAGTTTTGCTGAGTGCCACATGTTGGTACTTTTCTTTGTTGCCAAGCGTGGCCAGCCATATGGCTCAGTCCTGTCAGCACAGTGGGTCATCATGATGTTTCAGTAATTGCCTGGAAGCCTTTTTTCCTTAGCAGTTGACATGGCACACACACACACACACACAGATACACACAGACACAGACACATACACACACCTGTTTTTTTTTTTTTTTTGTGGTTTTTAGAGACAGGATTTCTCTGTAGCTTTGGAGCCTGTCCTTGAACTCCCTCTGTAGACTAGGCTGGCCTCGAACTCACAAAGCTCTTCCTGTCTCTGTCTCCAGAGTGCTGGGATTAAAGGCGTGTGCCACCACCTCTTTACTTTTTTGAGACAGTGTCTTGCCTTGTAGCCCAGATTGATTTCAAACTTGTGATCCCATATGCTGAGGTTATATGAAAGTGCCACCCAGCCCCAACCTCTTTTCTTGATGAATGGTTGGATATTAAGCGGCTAATGTTAGGTATCAATGGTTCTGATAGAGACAGGAGTCCAGATATTAGGTTCTGTATCCTTGACTGCTTTGTGGGAGCTATTTTGTTCTCTCTGTTTAACATTGCTTGACATTATTATGGAGGAAAGCAATAACACAATCGCAGAGCTTTGAGCTGTCCACATTTCTCACTCTGGTGATTTATTTTGATACATTCTGCATAAAACATTTTATATTTTATGTATGACTATTAATCATCCTACTTAGCTTATAGGTTCACTGTTACATGTATTTGAGAGTAGATCATCCCATGGAATTGAAATAGAAGTTAAAATATTCCTAGCAACATGTAAGCATGGTTCAGCGTGTGGAAATGCCTTTGATTTACTTTTTTTCTTTTGCAGATTCATGTTGATAATCATTATCCATGTATTTGTCAGGTGGGACTCCTAGCTTACCTAGTTATCATGACATTTTTCTTTTTGTATCTTTGGATATTTTCCTCATCAGTGATTTGAAGATTAAGGTTGGCGACAGGCACATCAGTGCTCACAAGTTTGTCCTGGCCGCCCGCAGTGATAGCTGGAGTTTGGCCAACTTGTCTTCCACGGAGGAGCTAGACTTGTCAGGTGAGTCTGACTTCACCAGAACACAGAACCAATGCACAAGACTTCTTGGTAGAAAGTTATAATGTATCACTTTGAAATATCTGTGGTATAATAAAATAAAATATTTATCAATTGATGAGAACATGAGCTGTTGAAATAAGATGTCACCCTAAGTTAGTTGTTTCTTTTCTATTTCTTCTTCTTCTTCTTCTTCTTCTTCTTCTTCTTCTTCTTCTTCTTCTTCTTCTTCTTCTTCTTCT